TAGACTTCCAACTGTAACGCAGCTAACAGAATGTGTGCATGATTTATCCTCAACAATTAATAATCGTAGCCAAACTGACGTTATCCTTTTAGATTTTTCCAAAGTCCTCGTCAGTCTCCCACCCGAAATTACTGCTAAAGCTTAAAACCTTACTTGGCCTAGGACAAATTGTTAGTTGGGTTGAAGCATGCCTTACTGATAGAAAACAGTTCGTCAAAGTTAACAGGCACAGTTCACCATTAACCACAGTTACTTCTGGAGTCCCACAAGGGTCTGTGCTAGCACCTCTTCTCTTCTCACTCTATATTAACGACATATTAGACAACATTGATGTAAACATTAGACTATTCGCAGACGATTGCATATTGTACACCGAAGTCAAAACTCAAAACGACCAGCTTTTACTAGACAGTGCAGTCCAAGTGATCAGTGACTGGTGTTCTAATGAACAAATGGTATTAAACGCAAAAAAAAAGAAAAAAATCTGTTTACATGGCAATCAGTAATAAAAAAAAAAAGTACTCTGCAATTTCCCTAAAGCATTAACAACACTCCCCTTCAAAAAGTCGAACAGTACAAATACCTCGAACTCCACTTTCAGCAGAGCCTTAGAGGGAAAACCCACATCGACTTCATTACTACAAAAGCAATTAACAAACGACGGTATCTACGAAGAGCTTTAAAATCAGCATCCAACGAAACAAAGTTGGTAGACTGTAAGGCACTGGTACGTCCCATAGTGGAATAGGCTAATATTCGTATGGTTCCCCCACTATAAAACACGCGTCGCTAAACTAGAAAAGGCGCAGCGCTTGGCTGCAAGATTTATTTTTAATAAGTTTCGCTACACTGACTCACCGTCCCACTAAGGCTCAACTAGCACCACTCCAGAAAATGGCCAAAATCTCAAGACTAAGGTTCCTGTTTCAAATAAAAAATGACAAAACGCTTATAGACAAAATTAAATATATTACTTCGCACATTTCCAGATCTACGAGAAGGAATCATGGAAGGCTACTCATAGAATATCAGAGTAACAACAACTTTTCAAATAGTAATTTTTTCCGCGAGTAATGTCTGAATGGAATAGCTTACCTGACGCCATTGTTCACTCCAAATCCATAGAATCATTCTCAACTGCCCTGGGAAATCACCTGATATGATCTGTATTCTACTTGTTCCCATCGATTCATCCTATTTACTGGTCTAGTGTTTTTTTGTTTTGTTTTTTTCAATTACAAGTGTAATACATTGCATTAAGATCCTCCCGTGTCTCCACTGAGTAACCCCATCCTCCTGTTGTTGTTGTTGTTGTTGTTTTTTTTCTCGTTTTTTTCAGTTATGCACTACAAACTGTGTAACTTGTATTTTACCTTGTAACCACCCTACTCAAACTCCCAATGAAAACTGGTAGTATTTCTAAATAAATAAATAAAAAAGATACACATAGCCTTTCATCACACCTCAAAGAACTCAACCCCAAGGCTCGACATGCTATTCTATGGAGAACCTCTAGTGTATCCATTCCTTCCACAAGCAAGATCCTCACTAAGACAGCCAAGAGCTCACCCATGCCAAACAAAGAGAGTTGACGGCGAACATCCATTGTGCGAGCCTAGCCATGCCTGCCGCGGCGCATCGCCCGTCGACGTCGATGTCACCGACAACACCGTTCAGTCGAGGCGCGGGACCGAGGAATACTGCACTTGGACCATTGCTCTCGCAAGACCTAGCCACCGGTGGACTCGCAAGATGGTCGCAGAAGTTGAGAGGGGTAAAGGTTCGTGGGAGTGGGAAAGGGAAAGAGTAAGGGCGAGAGAGAAATGACACAGCCGTATCTGGGTGTAGGCGGCGCGAGGAACGGCCTGGTGTGTGCAGAAAGGGTTATTACAAAAGTCTCACGGCCAGCCTTCATTCGCCGTAAGAAATCGTTTGCGTCGGTCTGCAATTTGAAACGGCGATCGGAAGCATAGTGTTCGCATTTCTGCATAGTTTACTGTTACTTACCTAAGCCCATCTTCCCCTTAGACCGTCCACTACCGAAGTGCCAGTACCAATTTAAAAATAAATCGCATCGTTTTTGTTTGCTCTTTCAGTAACTGTATACCTTAAAACCTGCTATTGTTGGCCCGCCACCTCTATCTTCTCTCATGTGAAGGCTCCATTGGTTACATGCATCATCTAATCTACATAATTTTCTGTCACCGGACAACAGAAGAAACAAAATTTGTGTCTGGACCTGGTTTCTAACTGAATCTTCTACGGTATAGTAGTTTCCTCGAGTTCTTCATATTTATACAGGAAAGAATAACTCCCGAGGATATAATAAGAGTTAAGACTCTGCAGACATCTCAAGATCACCCGCTTTCTCCCTTCTTTCTCTATGTGCGTTCCCTTTCTCAAACTTACTGTGCGAAGCAATTCCTGTAGGGTTCCAATTCAACCAGTTTGTCGGTCAATGCTTTCCCCGCCAGCTGAAGTCAATGGGCCAGAACATCCACCGTGAGAAACGCGAGGACACCACTAACCTTGCGCCGGCCCATTCTGGTGCGAAGTCTCTGGGAGACTCTTGGGAATCGGGTCAACTGAGTATAGTCTCCGCAAAAAAACATTGAGAGAAGAAAAGGCTACAAAATATTTGATTGTTTAGACACGAGTTAGGATCACACCCAAAGATGTGAGATGTGGAATGTGAAACATTTTAAAAGAAAAAAGAAAGGAAAGAATTTTCACTATCTAAAATCTAGTGACTCACATGTACCACAACAAAGGCTAGAAGTGCGAGCTTGCGCCTCTCGTAAATGCTCCTTCTGCACAGAAGCTTTTCACAGCCGATCGTGTCTTGAAGGCAGATAAGTCGGCGTCAAATATTTTGTGCTACGTTGAGGCTGGCGTAGCCTCCGCCGTGCTCCAACTCTGTTGCAATTAGTTGTGCGAGCACTGACAAATGAGGGGGAAAAAAATAAAGTAACCTGCGGCCGCAACAGCTGCATCACTGTGGAAGCTACGCTTGCCTTGATAATGTAGCGCAAAGTAGTTGACGCCGAGTATAGGTGTTGTTCTGGAGAACAATCCCTATAAATATTAATTTTTTGTCTCAAAAGCGAGAAGACGGACGCGTGTCTGGGCACTGCATTACTCGTAGAAAGTACCGAAAATTCAAGAAGAAGAAATGAGAACACCTTCTGGGAAAGGTTTTAACGGTAAGTATCAAAGTAACCTAATACAGCTGCGCGCCCAGCACGTACACGCGTCATTACACTCGCTGATTCTCCAGTCGCCTGCCGGAGCAGCGCTCCTTGAGGAACTGCTTGCGGCCGCGGCGGGATTCCTGGGGCGACGCAGCGCGGTGTTTGCATCCACCAGGCACAGCCAACGGACAGCGCGGGACCTCGACCCTCTTGCCGACTCCTGGGGAACTGCGCCGCTCCTCACCTCCGCCGTGTGCACATTTCCGCCCTCCTTCGACACTCGGCAGCGATGTGCAGCCAGGCGATCCGCGCGGTCGTCGCAGACAGCGAGGAACAGGCTGCCGCAACGCTGACCGCTTCCACGGAAGCGCGCCCTTCGGATCTCAAGGTTGCATTAATAGGAACTTTTAGTAGATCGTACGCTAAAGCGCTCCGCTTTGCTAGCAGGAGCTCTTGCTGGCATTTCAAGCATGCGTGGATTGAGCACGCACCCGCTGCTTTCCCCAACGTACGATCTACTAAAACTCCCTAATAATAGAAAGTTTTAGATGGTGTTTTCAGGCCACGTTATTTGTAGAGGGAACTCGCGCTACCACTTCGATGCATGCTCTGAAGCGCAGGCCCGTAGCGGTAGAAGGCCTTTGAAAACGATCTACTAAAACTCCCGTGGAGAGCGCAGAATGCTGTACCAATCGTGACGCGCCGTGAATGCACCGTGTGCACGTTTCACGACAGCCCTGAAACATGCACACGGTGCCCATGGGGCGATTGGTGGCCGAGTGCATTAACGCACTGCAGCTCGGAGCGAGTGGAGCGAAAACCCGCGCTGTAGAACCCGTGCAGGGATCCGGGGCTCAAACCCCAACCCCGCCCGTTTCGAGCTGGATCAGCATCCTATACCGGCGTGCGGGCGTGTATCACTGGTGCACGTTAAAGACCCCAGGCTGGCAGTGCTATACTGCATTGGTTAAATGTTTCATCTACAGCTCAGACACCAAGCGCCCATTAAAGGTGGCTCTTCCGGCAGTCTAAACAAGCATGCAACGCAATTATTCACACAGTGTACGTTTCGTGGCTGCCGAAACAAATGACAAAAACACTACCGCATTTTAAGGCACCGATGCCGTGTAAGGGCTCTATTGCATAGTGGTGTACTAAGAGTTATAAACTAAGCTTTGTCAATATATGCATACACACCGGCATGCTATATATACTCTCTTCGACCTTACGATGGACCAAAGTAGACGCCACGAGTCACGTGCCTTCCCGACCAATCCAACACTGCTAACCTATTCCGTGACCACGCGGCCCACGAGTCGTATGCGCCTCTCTCGGGTGTCACGTGACGCTTCTACGGCATTGGATTGGCTAACATGGCCCGTAGCATCCTCTTCAGCTCATCGTAAGACAAAACGGTGTGTAGCCGTATCCGGCAATGAACTGAGAGATGATAAGGGTGAACAAGGTACAGCCCGGTAGTACACATCAGCAAGGCAAATGAGCGGCAGTCAGACTGCAGACATGATGACAGAATTATCATCTGCGAACACGCCTCAAGCTTAGCGTGCTTGCTTCATGCATTTGTATGCTTTGAACATCTCTGTAGATGGTTCTGTGACATGGTAATCTTACAAGGAAGAAGCACGCCTCGGACAGCGTCTGCAGGCTGTCTTTTGTACGGCGTATCAGCAGCCTGACATGGCTTTATAGAACTCGTTGGCAATTAAAGTAAACGTGTTGTTTCCTAATGATGCCATTTAATGCCTGCCGGGAGACCGACAGATAATTCAGCGGGTTCAAGCGGGCACGTCACTGGTTGTCTCCCTTGACGCCGTCGAGGGCGAGCTGGGCGCGGGACTCCTTGACCACGTCCGGGAAGAGCTCGCAGAACACGTTGTCCTCGAGGTTGAAGCGCACGCTCTCGCGGGCCAGCTTCTGCTTCTGGTCGGCCGTGGTGTCCAGGCTGCCCAGCGTGGGCGTCTCGTCCACCATGAAGCTGAGCAGCCCCGTCAGGATGGAGGACAGGGACCAGGAAGGGTTCCACGATTCCGGGTGGAAGTCCGAGATGCTCAGACAGAGCCTGGTGTTGCACTGGAACCGCCCGTTGGGCGTGATCAGGAAGATGGACGGCGGCGAGAACGGGAAGTCCGCGGGAAACCGGAGCTTGCCGTGGTAGACGCCGCCCTCCAGGGGCGTCTTCTCCGGGCCGCGCACCGCGAAGTGCCACTCCAAGATGTCAGACGGCAGCGGGTGCGCCGTCACGTACGGCACGGGTTCGCACAGGAGCTTGGTGTATTCCAGGTGCAGCCGCCGGGCCGCCGTCTTGCTGGCGCAGTTCGTCATCCTGATGTCGCCGTGTTCCTCTCTACCGACCGGGACGCTGCAACGGAAGCAAGAAATAGTCTCAGGGGCTCAGTCGATTTAGTCTCAAGGTATAGGGAAGTTTCCAAGCAACGATTTACAGACATGCTCGTTCAACTCATTATGTCCACACCTCTGGCTTCGTGATTCGTTCAGTTCTTATCGACTAACGGTTAACAGACCCTTTTCGAAATTTTGAAATGGTTCATAGATCATCTGTGGCCGACATTAGTTGGTCACGCACTGTGAGCACGGATTGGACACGAGCGCTTCGTCAGCATTCGGAGTGTACTTGGATCGAAACGCACTCCCACACGAGTACTACGTCAGTGCTCGGCGCGAACTCGGAACCAATCACGGTCTTCACACCGGAAACGATGAGACCAGCTAATGGCGGCTGCGCATAATCTATGCATCATTTCACGATTTTGGAAAGGGCCTATTACACTGGCCGCGGAGCAATATGCCTTTTTATGCTGTCGGTGACTAACACGGAGTAGAGACCAAATCGACTCTCTGACGTCACGCCAATACGGTGGTGCTGCTGTTGGCACTGCGCATGCGCAGACGCTCCTCCCGAATTTGGTTTCCGCGCACGCGCAGTGCCTACATCCGGTGTGGACAAAGCGGGCTTGTTCGTAAACTGCGTATTGGTGTAAGCTTACAACAATATTCACCCCCTCCTCTTTTCCTGATTTATTGTTTAGAAGTTGCATAACCTAATCAATCTAACAATTCATGGATTATGTAATGTTAATTCCCAAGCAGCTCTATGTAGGGTAAGAACCAGATGTATCGCTTTGTCAAACTCTGAGACGTTAGGAAACTAGAGATTTTTTTTTTTTTAATTATTGATGTCTATTCAGAGCTTCTTTTTTTTCTGCAGGAATTCGGGGACGGAGCTTCTCCTGCAGATCTTATGCTGAAACAAAACTGTATGCGGAGCGCAAGTTCGTCTGCTTCTTGAGCAGGGGTTGCGGTGACGTCAGAACGCAGAGCTCAGTGATTAGCTCGCACGAAGGGATAGTGGGACCTCAATGATAGCTGCCTTTAGGTGTACCCACTATGCTTCCAATAGGAGCCAATCAGAGCTGGGCATTCTGACGTCACTGCAACCCCTGCTCAAGAAGCAGACGAACTTGCGCTCCTTATAGAACATGTGTGCCTCACGTGCTCGCGTTCGTGTTGAACTTCGTTTACACTATAAAAAAAGTTTTCTCCGTGTCTCAATTCCCCGCTGAACACGCTCAAGCCAGTCATTGTGATCTGATTAGGGTGCCTCTAGATCTGATGAAGCGCGTTCAGCTAAAGACATTGAATTCTGAAAAAGTAGCGCCAAGCTTAAAGGGGCCGTGCAACGATAGTGGGTAGGAATGTTTCTCACTTCACAGAAGCTTACTGGCACCGGTGAGACCCAAGAATAATCGAGCGCAACGCCACTGACGGAAGCGTTTTCGTCACGGTGGAATTCAAGGGGTAAAAGCGGTCGTCTTCTTTCAGTCTCTCCCTCGTAAAACTTGGTGACGAAGTTGCGCGGACAACGCCAAAAATGCGATCCCCGGTATTTTGTCATAAAGCTTTGCTATCTCCGTTGCGACAATATAGGGCAATGGTCTCAAACACGTGGCCCGCGGGCCGCATGCGGCCCGCAAGCATCCCGCGGCTACGAGCCCCTGTTCCTATGCCTCGAGCGCCACATGATCCATAAATAATAGATATATATCCTCGACTCATTTCCGCTCAAAATTGACCTCTACTCAAAAACGTGTTCACACATTTTGTACTCTTCTGTTTTCCTTTAGACGCAGTACTGCTCCGTCTGGATATTTGCTTCTCAGCCCTTTCTCATGTAAATCAACCGGAATGGCACCACAACTACTAGGCTACAAGTGTGAACCCTTCGCTCGATGAGGCACCTCGGCTGCACGAACTCTCGCTCAGCAGGAGCAACTGTTGAAGACAAAGCTGTGACCTCGGGCTTCTAGCCGTCAAAAATACCTTTAAAATGAAAATATTTTCTGATAACGCTGCTACAAAAATCGCCATAAAAACAAAAACTGCCATACATTTTTTTTTCTTTTTTTTTTTTTTGTGCAGGGAATGGGTTTGTGGAACAAACTTCCATGCAGGTTCCGTTGTCGCTCCGCACTTCATTTCTGAATCTGAGAATGTTTTATGCACTTTGTTTGAAGAGCAAGATCGTCATAACGTTTTCTTTGTACGCCCCTGTTGGAGGAGATGAGTTCCTCTAACATATTAACACTGTATAGAATTAATTTGTTGAGTTGCCTTTCTTGTATTTTTTCCTCCTGCTTTGGCCCTAACAGATTTGGCAGTAATGTCGAATAATAATAGTAATAAAATAAACAATCATGGATGAAGAAAGAATAAAACAATTAAAACGGGGACAACACAACCACATCTTTCAACTTGCAACAGACGAGTAAACTTTCAAACAGCGAGCAGCCGACTATACCCAGTAGGAGTAGGGGAGAGAAGGGGGAGAGAAGGGAAGAAAAGAAACGCGAAGTGCAAGTCAGGGTGGTAGGGTTATCTCGGATTTTAAAAATGCAACCTCAGTTTTCGTCAGCAGGAGGGAAGGGTTGGACACGTTGTTTTTTGCTGTGGTCATCGCGAATGATTCTATGATTTCCCTGCCGAATCTGCTGTCATGCCCCCCCAGGATTTTTTGTGTCATCAAAGAGGGGATGACAACGCAAACACGAACGGGCATGTATGACTATGGGATGATAAGAATCTGGAGAGGCCTTAGAAACTTCGTTGTGATGTTCGCGGAGTCTGTGATTGGTGCATCTGCCGGTCTGTCCTATGTATTGATGGCCCCTTGAGCTGCGGCCATCAATACATAGGACAGACCGGCAGATGCACCAATCACAGACTCCGCGAACATCACAACGAAGTTTCTAAGGCCTCTCCAGATTCTTATCATGCCATAGTCATACATGCCCGTTCGTGTTTGCGTTGTCATCCCCTCTTTGATGACACAAAAATCCTGGGGGGGCATGACAGCAGATTCGGCAGGGAAATCATAGAATCATTCGCAATGACCACAGCAAAAAACAACGTGTCTAACCCTTCCCTCCTGCTGACGAAAACTGAGGTTGAATTTTTAAAATCCGAGATGACACTACCACCCTGACTTGCACTTCGCGTTTCTTTTCTTCCCTTCTCTCCCCCTTCTCTCCCCTACTCCTACTGGTTATAGTCGGCTGCTCGCTGTTTGAAAGTTTACTCGTCTGTTGCTAGTTAACAGATGTGGTTGTGTTGTCCCCGTTTTAATTGTTTTATTCTTTCTTCATCCATGACTTAAACCAACACGCTCTTCTCCCAAGCAAAATAAACAAAGCTACGGTCGCGGCTTTGGTCCATGAAATGAGCACTTCCTCCTTGACCTCTGCATTATTGGCTAGCAGGCAGGGATGGCAATGGCGCTACTCTCCCAGGATCCAGTGAGTATTGACTCCGTAAGTGTGACGTCATGGGTCCAAACAAACCGTTGCTAGGGTCGTTGTTATGGACAAATACATGTGGCTAGGTTTCGCTACGAAAACCCGACCGTTTAAAAATCAGGATTAGGATTTAAACTTCTAAAAATTACAGATATAGAAAGCTTGAATGTCATATATGTTGCGACATAAGTGTGCCGGTAATCGCTTGTTTCTGAAATATTTACGACTGCAACTTCCGGTCCTCAAGATGCCGGCAGCAGACGACGAATGCAAGAAGTATGCCGTCTGCCACACACCCGCCGGCCAAGCCGGCGCCGACGTCTGAATCGGGTGAATAAAGACGATATTCTGATATTGCATCTGTTTGAAATATTTTAAAAATTTTTTTTTTTTTGAAATATAAAAAAGTTTTAGACACTTAAAAGAATTCATAGTGGGGTGCGATGCAAAATATGGTTTATCGAAAGTCCGGGCGTCGATCGAGATGATCGGCTGCTAAAAGATCGCAATGCACCCGTGAGAAACTCACTTCAGGCGATCGGTAGAGATCCCAAATTTTGTTTGCAAGCTCGTCTTCAGATTTCCGCAAAACCCCAAAACGCGAAAGAACTGGATAAAAAACATAAGGTGAGTTTATTACAGATTGTACTCTCATCGCGGGTTCGATGGAGATCTTCACCGAAAAAGCACATCCACTAAATGTAATGTATACAAAAAAAAAAGCGAAATTGCGGTAGACATGCAATATTTTAATAACCTGACGACCTCAATAATAATAATAATAAATATTCTTATCTCGATGGCGTACGATTTGTTTCTTATGCTGGCCTGCACTACGCCGATAATGCACTTCAGGTCGTCGTCGTAACTGATCTGCATGGCGTGGTTTGATTTTACGGAATCTTCGCCCCTCTGAACTAAGCTGGGTTCTTCACAGAAAAAAACGCATATTGCAAAGGCATGTGCGGTCAGGGCGATGCACTTGCTTGTGTTGCTCGTTTACTGACGCAATTCAATGAAGACGCCCGCTGCAACAGAGGCCAGCAAATCTATCGTGTCGTCTGCTACCAAAGCAAAGTGGAGTGGAACACTTCAGAAATGGCTTTCATCGTTGCAATACGAGGCTGAGATGACAAGGACATCTTCATAATTAGATATCAAGAAGTTAGGTTGCTTCCAAAAAATTATTTACTTACTTATAAGCGAAAATCTAGCCTCGTGTGGAGTCTCCATGCATTAGTCCATAGCAACGCTCCTAGCAACGGTTTGTTTGGACCCAGACGCCAAGTTGTGACGTCATCACTTACGGGGTCAATTGGCGAGGAGATCAAACTATAGGGGGCGCCGTTTCATTATCATCATCATCACCACAAACAATCGCCTGTGGCAAACAACTCCGACGCTAGCACTGGTCTAGCGTATACGCAGCATCGTTTCCGCGCTTGCAGCATATTTGTTTTAGCGAAATGGTGCGCACTTGCTGCGTACAGCAGGGATCGAAGCCTGCTTTAG